TGCAAACTATATCACTTGCCGTAGCCGCGACGCGTATATGCGCGCGATGCGCGTGGAGAACACGCGAGAGCGAACGTAAGTACGTACGGCCACCAGTTGCCTCCTCCCTTTTCTCGGCCCATAATAATAGATTACACGTTATACCCCCCCGCAATTTTATCATTATAGCGAAATAGTATTATTATGATTATAGTATTATATAAAGTATTATTATGGAAAAAAATGATTATATTTGTCATATTATATTATTATATTTGTCAGAAACGTAAAACGAGAATCTTTAAATCATTTATTTCAAAAATTATTTCGCAATTTTTATCGGTTGTGGTGCCACAAAATCGACATTTTAATTTTAGCAAGACTTGATCAAACACGTGATTTGAAGGTAAATACTTTTTCGAATACCTATATTCGTGCAATCGTTACGCAAATAAATTGTAATTATTATTGCTGTTCTCTCCAAGCTACGACAAGCCCTGATTTTTATTTATTTTCATGTTACTTTTTATATTACAACTATTAATTATTTTAATGAATTTAAAAGGCGTATTTGATATTTGGGTGAGTATAGAGCGACGTCCGATCGTAATAGCGCGCAAAAAAGAGCAGAGTGCTCGAAAATATTTACGGAGCCGTGTTTCCATAAGCGACCGGTAGCGATGGCTTTTGCGTAACTGCTGCTACATCTCTTACCATTCGGTATATTTACACCAGTACTAGACTTTGCAGACGAGTGTTTTCGTCTCGCTGGCTATATCGTTGGCAGCTCACTGCGTATATATACGCGGCGAACCTACACGTACGTAAGTACTTACGACCACCAGTTGCCGCCTCTTTTCCTGACGTTACATCCATCGAAGTATAAAGCGTCGTTCAGCAGCGTGGACGGGATGGTTTATTGATCATTGCGGCGGAAGCAAGAATTACCTTCGTTCGCGCCCTTACGTCGTAAATATAAAAGAAACATCTCGGTCTTGACAATTGCGTTGAAATATGCTCATGCCATGTTAATAAAAATAAAACTATTTATTACAGTGAATATTTATAAAAAAAAATAAACAAGTAATGTCTTCATATGTAGTATATATTATTATTGAATATGTAGAATATATTATTTTTACGTTATTTAATCATCAAGAGTTGTTATATCTTCCTCTCGTATGTTATTTCTGCAGGATTTCCATATCTACATTTGAAATACGATCGTGTTGCTGTTACATCAACTAAATAGCGCAAGGTAACAATTTTGTACTGCAAAGTAACACTATTTGGATAACTAGATATCGATCATAACCATTCGCTCGTTATTCAATATAATAAAGCCACGTGCAGTGATCCGTGAAGCTTCTATATTAGCATGTATCAGGATGAAATGTAATATATAATGATAATATCAATATATTCTATATAAATTTAATTGGTACAATTAGCAATAAAATTTATACATACTGTATACAAATTATATATATATTTTTTTTACGATTTGTACACATATGTATTTATATATGTATACACACACACACACACACACACACACACACACACACACACACATGTATATACGTATACTTGAAAGACCCTATTTTACAATAAATTTCGACCAAATTTCGCAATTATGGAGTTGCAAAACGATGCTCGTTATACGCACTTGAAATGATCCTTCCCTCTAATGAGAGGCAGGACGTAAATAGTTATCAATGGATAATTAGTAAATACATGCGCGTATTAGAGATCCTATTTAACGCTTCCGTCATTTCCCAGTTAGTTGATATTGATACGGTAAGCCGATTTTGCGATATATAGTAACGTTTCTGCGTATTGCAATGATCGATTGCAGTTCTCATAAAACATGACACAATAATTCAATTCGCTACTATGGCACTATACCTATATTCAAAGTTGTGCGTGTAACGAGCGACTGGCGCCTGCGGAACGCATTACAATTTTGCTAGCTCGATCAGTCCCGAGAAAGACGAACATTCCGATTTTATTTCCCGTCGTGGCCCCTAACGAGATATTGATACAGCAACGAGACTACCCATAACTTTCTACCCCAGAACCGCGTATATAGACTCTTCCGCAGTCACTCGTCGTTACGTGGAGGATGGGCCTCTGTAAATCCACGTATGTGCGGAGGGTTGTGAACGTATCCTGAGTAACCACCCTTCTTGTTCTCGAGCATCGTCTATAACATCGTTCCTGAGTTCCAGGACGTCGCTGGACGACTTGAAAATTTATTACCAGAATAGGAGGAGAAAAAAGCTGTGGAGAACCCGACTTCCTGGCGATATACTTGCCTCCGCGTCTGACCCTTAATTCCCTCGGGACGGACAGAAGTAGCGACTTTAAATTGCATACACCGCTTAACCGGTAGATTTTCCGGAGTCCAGGATAAAATGCTTCCTGATACCCCTTTAATCTCGGCCACGATATCTGCGTAAAAACATCACACCCGAAATGTTCGAAGAAACTTTTGATATTTTGATACTTTCAGTAGCTAAGAGTGATAGTATTATGTACATCATATAAATAATAAATAATTATGTACATAATATAAAAATATAAATGTTCAACGTTATCTCTATGCTTTAAGCAAGATACTTGTATTATCCTTACTCACTCAAATAGACATAGTTATGGCTGAGTTTATATATGGATATATATATTTATTCGTATAAGGAACGAATAAAATCGTCCATAAAATCCCGTAGTTACATTGAGAATTCAACGCGTAGAATATATACCGGAAGGTTGTCTTTATGCGATGCACGCAACGAAGGTCTGAGCCCTCATAAAGCCGACTTGTATAAAGCGTTACTTAAATGTACCGTGAACAGATCATCCATCCTGAAAGCGATCTGCGATCTCCGTTGGTAGACACTCTCATCTTTACCATGATAATCCAAGATAGAAGAGATCGGCGAACACATACAACAGAAATCTCGATTCCGCAAAAACAATCGTCGATACACGTGTAATATTTCGTTATATAACAATATTATATAACGAAGTACTGTCAAATGTACCATTTATTTGTCACTCGTCGGAAAAAACGTTTCTTCATTCGTACAGTCGGTTCAATATTTTTATATCTCGCGGAAACCAACTGTCAGTTGCACTAAAAATAAACTGACCGCACCAAAATTCACTGGCTGTGATGTACACGATTCGCAAATCATACCGGCAATTATTCACATCTCCATGAACTGGAACGTATGAAAAATATGATGCATTTCGTATATTGGATGGTATTAATTTCGAGATGGACACGCATATTAGACGCGTTCGCACGAATCGTGGATGTAAAATTTAATACATTTTTTCAATGATACACGTTTTAATTTTTAGATAAATGCAATTTCTCAAATTTAAATCTATCTTAATAAAAATAATTAATATATACATATATACATATATAGATACATATACATATATACATATAATATATTAAATAATTAAAAAATTTTCCGTATAGATCATATATCGCGTATGAAAAGTTAGTATAATATTTTATTAATTTTTAAGAAAAAAACGATAGTTCTAATAGCGCTTTTTATAATTCTACAATTCTTGATAAATATTGAATAAAGATCTTCATTTCTTTTTAACATCAAAAAATACAAAATTTTTAAAGTGCAAAAGACAATCGATATTATGACATCCGTCGCACATATATAAGAGTTCTTATTAGTTTTAGACTGATTTTATAATTATATAGTACTTCAGGACGAAATGCCAATAATTAATAATTTTATATATAGTTGGGAGTATTTATTTAAAAAATTACTTTAAATATATCCTACTTGTCGTTGTGCAATGTATGTTGAATTTATATATAATTTATATATAATTTATATATATTTATATATATTTATATATATATATAAATTATATATATATATATATTTCAATACATAACATATAATTTTATATAACAAATTTTGTCTTTTATAACTTTTATATAATTTTAATAATTATTAATTTATTAATATATTGAATTCAATCTTTTTGCATTTCAAGCTATCTATTGAAAATAACTAAATCTCATAGAAGAGTACCAACATCATGTAAAATCCATGTCTGCTTGGGTCCTGTCTGAAGTCAATGTATATATTTTACTATTTAATCCCAAATAAACCTTGAAATATAAAAGCGTTGGCACATAGAAAAGTTTAAGCAGTAAGCTGCATTACAAAATTGATAGAAAATTGAAGATAAATAAGAAAATTGACCAATCGTATTTGATTATTCTTTTTACAAAAAGATAAATAATTACTAAGAATAATCATCTATAATTAATTTTCTTATTGTTTATGTCTTCCTGGTTTTTCTATGTAGATTCTTACAATAACGATATATTTAAAGTTTAATAAAATTGAATTACATACGCGTGTTATGTATGTGTTGTTTATTTCTTTTTTTTTAAATGTATAGAAGAAAAATATAATACTCTTACATTATTGATACACAAATATTGTCAAAATATAGAATCTATTATGAAATCTATAGAAAACCAATTGAAATCGCAAAAAAGAAACAAGAAAATTCGATCGATTTTAATTTCAATACTTTCAAGTTTAGACATGCATGTATTTGTTAAAAAAGAAGCATTTATAAATATTTTCACGATATTTTTTGTAATCAATGCACTTTCGTTTTTTATTTATAAAGAGAAGGCACTGGAATGAAACCTATGTTGTCAATGCAATTGATCAGATATGTAGTGCTGGCCTCGTAAGGCAAAACGCTACACACAGACGCAAGCAACAAAATCGATCAAGTATTACCAACAACGTGTTACTAGACTTTTATCTCAGTACGAAAATTATTTTATCATTTATTGATTAAGAAGAACATATTTCTTCAGTTTCATTATATATACTTTGGCCGGTATCGTATTACGGGAGACCTGAATAAGCTTGATCATCTGCCGGCAACGATACTACCGACTGCATTTTCTCGTACAAGTTTGCTACGAAAGGACGGAGAACGAACTCTCCTTTCATCCAAAGAGATGCCGCCGTTGCCAACGATGTACGCTTGTTCGTGCTTATAATGATCTTTCTATAATTAGAAATATCGTAAAACGTTTAACGGAAGGCCCTCTTTTTCTGCATTGCTTTTAACCTATCATTTAACAACTCCACGATGTTCCATGTGGAGCACGAATGCGAAATCACAACCGAGCACGAAGATATAGTTTTTCCTCCCGACAATTTCTTCCGAAATGCGTTTAACGCGTTCCGCTCTTCGCTGATGGTATCGAAAAAAAATCCAGGTACCCACAAGTATTTACGCAGTCGCGCTTCCATATTCTTGGAAAAGAAACGGCACTTGCATAACTATCAGTATATTCTTCATCCATTCAGTATTTTTAGGTATATTTTCTCAATATACAATATTTTACAACCTTTCTACATATGTCAAATCAAATATGCTGAACTAAACCAAATTTTTTATAGCACAGATTTGTCTGGGATATCCTAATGATTTTAACGATAACATGCTTACTATTGATTGCTCCATATCAGGCTGTCTTTGAAATGAAGCGTTCAATTTATTGGACAGTCTGTAAAAATCTTTTACTTTTTCTTTGTTGCATGGACATAGTTGTTAATTTTATGACAGGGTGAATACAATTTAATTGATAAATATGAATTATTTATTTGTATTCATATATATGTGTTTTTGTTGAACATAACATAGAAATTTTAGAATATTATATTCTAATTTCGTTACTATAATAAACTATAATAAAATTGATTAAAAATTGCTATAAAATTAAAAATTTCTCTTTCATCATTGAACAGATATTTTGATAAGCTGTATCAAATTGTTGTGATGGAACCGAGGAAAATAATGAAGAGATACATAAAATATGGTACTTTCCTGCCAGACTTACTGGGCTCTTTACCAACTGACATCGCGTTTGTTAAAACGTGGGAGGAGAATATAATTACACGCGAGCTAGTATCTTTGATGTGCGGATTTCGCGTATTTTCTCTCAGTTCTTATATGACAAAGATTGTTCAATCGTATGACGCCCCATTGGTTGTCTATGAAGTCTGTATCATGATATTTTGGCTTATAATAGCATTTCAATGGCAATCTTGCCTTTATTGGCTGGTACCAATAGCGACGACTTCCATGTACTTACCAAAGCGTCCCGTCAACGATTCCTGGATACACGAGTTCAATCTCTGGGAAGAATCCAAAGGTCTACAATATCTATCCAGTCTCTTACGCGCCGTTTCCACTTTCTTCGCATCAGGCTTCTTGCACAGAAAGCCGAAAAACGAGGCGGATCTCACGCTGGTGATGCTCTTTCATCTCTTAGGAGGTCTAATTATGTGTATTCTAATAGCTCGCGTGAACCAGCTCTACAGGAGCATCAACAGTTCTAGGATAAAATATCAAGACGTCATGGTGCAACTCAAGCAGTATATAAAGCATCGGCAACTACTGCATCCGACTCAGTGCCGTATCGAAGCGTACTATGAGTTTTGTTTTCAACATCAATATTTCTACGAGGCCGAGATCCTCAACACCCTGTCGCCGCAAATGCGACAGGAGATCGGCATGCACGTCTGCCGCAAACTCGTGGAGAACGTTACGTTTTTCGCCAATCTGCCTCTTTCGTTGCTGGCGCGCATCGTCGCTCTGCTCAAATCCGAAATATTCTTGACGAACGACGTGATTGTGCGAGTCAATCAACCGGGTGACTGCATGTATTTTATTGCCAGCGGCACAGTGGCTATTTACACCGCTACCGGAAAGGAAGTATGTCACTTGCAGGATGGCGCGTACTTTGGAGAGATCGCGCTGGTGATGCCCGAGGAAAGAAGAGTGGCTAGCGTCATCGCTGTTGAGATCTGCGAGCTATATCGACTGGATCGTGCCGATTTTGCCAGAACGATTCATCCCTTTCCTATGTTCTGGGAGCAAATCAAGAAAATAGCTGTCGAGAGGCATGAGAGAACGGCCATAATGGCGTTATAAATTAAATTACAAAGATAGTTTATTTAAAAATGTCATCGTTATTACAGCACATTTATCGAAAAAAAAAAAATCTTGTTTGTATATAACTTAGTTGCAATATTAAAGATAATATTTATAAGGCGACGCATATTATATCGAGAGCAAGTGACGTTAAAAATCGCTCTATCTGTGATCGTTGATTATACAAATCACGATCGCGAATGCCGAAAGCAACATTGAGACTAGCGAGCAAGCGACGATAAATTTTAAAGACCCGATTATCTACCGTTGCAACGTAGTATTAGCGTACGAAATTTATTGATGAAAGCGTACTTTGGAACAATGCATTTGCAATTCGTGCCTCATCCACAGGTTTTTAAAGGATATGTTCTAAACTTATTGTAGTGCGCTAATATCAGGTTACAGGAAACTGCCGTTGAATTGTTACGATTGAAAGAATTGTTAATGATCGTTGACGATAATAGCGGAAAATTGTTAAAGAACCGATAAATTTCAAGACTCCGATAACTGTTTCTCGTAACCCAACATTAGGGCAGATTTATTACCCTGGACGTGGATCAAGAAGATCGCGATCGTGCGCCGCGGAAGACTACAATTTTCAATGTACTGTAGATCATCGGTAATATCACGTAGTAAGAAGAATGCATGATTACTTCTTAAGATGAATTCGTGATAATTACAGTTTAGCACCGCGCATCGCCGACCGGAACTCGGACTCGTTGTTTTGCGAACGTCAAAAATCAAGTCGATTCGAAATGCATCGCGCGATATCAAACATATCGAGCTTCAAATCGGCAAGTGGAGCACTTAATATAATGGAACGAGAAACGGAAGGACGCATCTCTCTTCGCTTTGTAGCCGTGCATCTACGCAACTAGCTCACGCTATTAATACTTATCGGGAGCTGGGATCATTATCTTTAGCGCTGGTTGTAAGATCCGTAGTTGATTGTAGTCGGTGTCCTGGGATATTGCATTAAGAATACGCGTGTAACGAGAGAAGGCCTGATTTACCTGACGATGCGTGCTTATCTGAAAGATTCGCATATCGAGTTAGTCCAACCGGTTCTACCTGAATATCTGCGTGACGCGATGCAATGATACGTTATCCATTATTAATGAATGCAGTTTTCACGATAATTGTTTTTTGTCGTTACAGAACGAACTTGTTCTTTCACCGGGCGAGGAATGTCTAAGCAGGAAAACTTCGATGGCACGCGTAAATAATCGGTATGCATGTATTGATAAAAAAAAAAAGAAAGATACATCCTCGGAACTTATTATTAGATCTGGCTACATCGGTAGCGTGATAACAAGTTCGTGCCACGATGATATATCTCATTTCTTTGATGTTAAATGCGACAAATATGTATCCTGATTATTCTGTGCGTTCGCAAAAAGCGGTATAAACTATCGCAAAAAGGCAGAGCGAACTCCGGTTGCCGCATCGTCGCACGTAGTAAGGACAAAGCATAGCGTGCAAATTGCGGAGACCATATATAAAGTGATATAATATATATATATATATATATATATATATATATATATATATATATT